AACGCCTTGGATTGTCCACCCTACGTACAGACTCACCCAACCTGCCTCTGTTTGGGCTGTTTCTGTTTCCTGGAACTAGTCACCCATCCCCGAGGGGGGAAGCTTTATCTATTTACTTATTTATTTAATCTGTCAATTAACGGCCTTAGTTTAGAGCAGAAAACTGAGGAAACAGAGTTCGCACACAGTCACCTCCCACTTCCCCTTCATTGACATCTGCAGGGTCTGTATCTCATAAATGACGAGCCAACGTTGATAGATTGTTAGCTGGAGTTGACATTTACAGGAGAGTTCTCTCTGAGTTGTAAACGTAAATGTCGCGTATCTGCTATTGTTTCATGCAGAACGGTTTCAGTGCCCTAAGATCCCTGTGTTCCACCTGATATGCCTCCACCCACTGTCCCCTGGAACGTCTTCACTCTGAAGCCTGCCTGACCCTGAACGAACGCAGGCAGAAAGGAGATGTATCAGGTTGGCCTCTTTCACCGATTGCGTTCGCCTCTGGTTTCATCTGTGTCTTTTTGTGGCTTCACAGACAAACAGTTGAGCCTCATATGGCCTCATAAATGCCGTGGTTTAATCATTAACTGTCTGAAAGTCTTTGGCTGTGTTATCTTGGTTTGGAGGTAAGACCTCGTGAACTCAAGCCATTAATTCTCATGTGCCAGCCACCTAAGGCTGGAACCACCGGGCTGTGACTTGGGAGAGCCTGAGGCAACAGAGCACGACTGGAAGTAGCCTGGTCACTGGGGCGGGCCTGACTCCGCCTCCTGGGCGGGCCTGACTCCACTTCCTGCTCACTCTCTGCTTCCTGACTCCTGATGCAGTGTGCCCTCAGCACGGGTGTTTTCCTCAAACCCACCTCTCCTAGACCTTAAGCCAAAACTAATCCTTCCTTCCATCAGCTGCACATGTCAGGTGTTCTTCAGTCACAGCCACAGGACAAGTGACATAGCCATTCCTAAAACAAGGGCAGCTGTTCAGACAGACATTTGCAGAGCAGTTAGACCAGGCACAGTGCTGCCCGCTGCTTGTGGAGGAAATGAGGGTCCAGCTGCATTCTGCCGCCTTGGTAGCTGTGCTGACAGGGTTTTGCGACACGTCTCCAGGCCCTCTTACCACATCTCTGAAATTACTAATGCTAAGTATGTTGGAGTTAAAAAAGAAACTAAAACCTACAGGTTTAAGCACGAGCCAAGCCCTGACCTGGGCTTCCCAAGCCTTACAAAATATTAATACATCCGTCTCACGGGGGTGGGGGGAGTGGGGAGGGGAGGGCCGGACCTGGGGCTCACCAATGTTCTGTGGCATAGGTTACAGCCTCACGGTCTGCCGTGTGAGTCTCTGTATGTCTGATTCCAGAGCCTGTGCATGTTTCTGTGTTCCTTTCCTGGGCTCTGGTACTTAACTGAGGACCCAGGGTTTATGAGCACTGAGCTGGCAGGGGATACTTCATACGTGTGGATTTAGGTAGTAAAAGGGAAAATCAATATTTCTGCGACTTACTGCAAATACAATACCCATTTCCCCAAGTACATGCAATTAATCAATTGGCAAACACACCGAATATTCCTTGGGTAGCCGTGCAAAATATAATCACCATGAAAAATGCACACAGTAAGGGAAACACGCACGAGACGGGAGGAAACTCGTACATTGTCAGGACCATGTTCAATGTTCATGTCACCAGTGTGGTTCTAGTTCAGTTAGTTTAAACCTTATTTTATTTCTCAAACTCAAAATGCTTGGAAATGGGGTTACGTGTGAATAAATTTCCAGCTCTAGCTTGGGCCTCACGAAACTTGTCAGGGTGACGGGGTGGCTGGCCCCAGTGCCAGAGCCTGTAGCTGGGGGCTGTGCTTTGGCAAAAACACGACTCATTTCTATCACGTAGAAAGAGAAAACCATTGTCTTCCTCTGCCAAATAGTTTGTTAGTGATGCTTTCTGTATGCATTTTAGCGTTCAAATACAGATGTTCCCAGATGTGCCCTCTGTGGGAAGCAGCTGCTGCTTCTCTGGCACAGAAACTGCAGAGAGATCAGTATACAAAGGCAGCACGAGCCTCAGTACAAATACAGCGCCACAGTGTGCGGTGGGCCTGGCATTCCCAGGCGGTAGGGGGGCTTCGCACCCCCGTTAATAACCTGAAACTGTCTCAGATTTACCCTTAGTCTTCAGGAGTAGACACAAAGACAAGTGATTAATTTCAAACACACTTGCCTGATAAATACCGTCCCATGTTATTTGCCCGGGGACTGTAAAACACTAGATTTTATTTCCTGTGAAACTGATGGGAATATAGATGTTCAGTCATGATTACTGATGTTCACAGTGGCTGCTTCCAGTGGCGGCCTGGTAACAGCCCGGCCCTGAGTGGCTTGGGGTCATCCACACACCTTGGCTGTGAGTCCGCAGAGCACTGCACCATTTACCGTGGTGCGATCAGACACTACCCCGTTGGATCCCAGCCCAGCCCTTCCACATGTGTACGATGCTGGTATTAGCACCATTTTTATAAATCCGGAAGACGGGATGAAGGAGTCAAATGACTCTGATGCTTAACCTTATTCGTTTCTTGTCCAGTGCTGAGCCACGACGCATGCTCTGTACATCACATAGTGCTAGCTAGAGATGTGAGCTGGCGAGACACCACCAAGAACAGTCCTGCCTGGCAGCTCTGCATACCAAGGGGAGGCTGGCAGGGAAGAGCTGATGCTCCATTCTCCTTCCCCACACCCTGGAGGGAACTTCCCGGTTGTTCCTCTCCTCGTGCCCAGAGAGCTTCAGCGAGGCAGCTCCCGCGTCTTCCCGGCATTTAGAGAAATGAAGAACCAGGAGCACAGATCTCTGGGCCCTCATTCGGAGTTGCCATAAACCAGAAGTTTCCAAGCACAGTGGCACCTGGGGTGCTGTGCCTGCCTGAGCCTTATAAATCTGTCTGTGCAGTGTTCAAGGGCTCCTTGCCTCTAACCAGATCTATTCTGTGAAGCTAGCTAGTGAATTATTTATGGATTACACATTTGACAGGGGCTCGGGGCTACATTTGAAAACACTCAGCTCCCGGCTTGTTGCTGTGGAAGGTAGAAATGTCTGTCTGGAAACCAAGGCTCAGAGCTATTCAGTCGCTACGAGTCCCAGAGGCAGGGTACACGAATAGCTGAGCTCAGTGTGTCTGGTCCTATGCTGTCTGGCTTCCCAGAGAGGGGCCTGCGCATCCTCCCACAAGGACAGCAAGCCGTAGCAGGTGAGAGTCTGAGCATCAGCCTCGAGAGTGAGCTTTAGATAGAAAGGAAGCCGATGCAGAGGAAGGGATAGAAAAGGAAGACAAAAGAGGCTGAAGCCAGGACCAACGGCAAATGAAGAAAAGATTACACGGGCAAGCGCCGGTGTGGTTGGAGCAGCAGAAAGCCGTGGTACAGTAGGCTGGCGTAGCACCCTCCTCCTTCCCCCAGAGGCTGACACTGTCTCAGTGGCATATTGCCTTGTGACTTCACTGCTGCCTCGGCCGGGGTCCAACCAGTATGTAAGGAAGCATACCTGGGATTGTATCTGCTCCGGCTCCTTTGTGGGAGCACGTGTGTTGGTAAAGGCAACTTAAATAGTTCACTTTACACACTCACCACTCAAAAGCACTATAAAAATGGTCTCAGCCCTTGTTAGCAGGAACTACCTCAGAAAGCACCGAAAACAGGGAAACATATCACTTGCGTCTGTGAAATATTAATAAAAACCTTTGGAAGGGTACAGACAGAGCACACCTGATAAAGGGAGGCCCCTCCTCTCCAGGGGCGGCACAGCAGCACTATTGGCTGATAGCTGGAGGCCCCTGTGACCAGGGTCACTCCTTCATGTTACAGAGGTGGAAGCAACATGGGGGGGGGGGGGCATGTGTCAAATGGCTGCGGCAGGCCCGTGATGAAGGAGAGGAGGGAAGCACACTTCCGAGCTCGAGAATAAAGGGAAGGGAAGGCGCAGCATTACTTCCCTTTATAAGTCTCTGCACACGTCTTAGAGACCAATGTCTGACTGCATGCACCCGGCAGGAGGTGGAAAGCCTGTAGCCTCTTCTTTGATGCTCTGGTTTTCCGTCTGCTCTGTGCCTGTGTGGTGTTCTGTTCTAGCAGAGTCATTTTCAACTAAGACCTTTGAGTTCAGTCTTTTCTTTTTTTTTTTTCCTGTGGCGGGGATTGAACTCGGGGCCTTGAGCCTGCTAGGCAAGTGCTCCACTGCTGAGTTACACCCCCAGTCCCATTAAGACCTTGAAGATTTGATTTGGATGGCTGGTGTGCAGTGTGTTCGGTCCTGGCAGGTAGTCCGTCTCAGTCCTGAGAGGCCGCTGCTCAGAGACTCCAGAAGATAAAGGAAAGCTTGAGTCCTCATGAGCAGGAGGAGCATGGGCTGGCCAGGTGGGGCCTGCCGTTCCTGAGGTCTAAGTCACAAGTCACCTGAGGGGGCAGGATAGGAGATCGGAGGAGGGTCCTGGCTCCCAGGATTATAAGTCATGGTGGGAAGTATCACCCTCAGTGCCTGCCATTGGCTTTGGGAGAGAGATACACAGGGACACAGAGCGTCATTTGGCTCTCAAGCGCCCTGTGCTCTGAGCACAGAGCCACAGGGGTCCTCCAGCGCCCATGGTATGTTCCTAGTTAAGAGTCTTGGGCGTCCTCTGTTGTCCTTTGTCAGCCGCAGGGGCTAGTGGGTTATTTACAGGGCTGCAATAGCAGTGACTGTTGGGGATTTCATTTGAAAGCTCCATGAAATGCCACCTCTTTCTGCGGGATCGACTTCAGCATGCCACTGCTTATGAAGCCGTTGCCTTTTGTTAGCAGCCCGCTGTGGGATGTGCTTTCTATCCGTTCTGTGTGAGAACGTGGTCTCCTGATAGACACTGAGAGCGGGATTGATGACTCCAGAGAGACTCTGAGGTTTCATCTGCTGAAATGAACCCAAGCTGTTTTCTGCTGCGTTCTCACTTCCCTGCCTTGTCTTTCCTCCCCAGGCAGCGTCGTCAGCCCTGAGCAGCCTGGGCCACGTGTACACGGCCATCGGGGACTATCCCAATGCTCTGGCCAGCCACAAACAGTGCGTCCTTCTCGCCAAGCAGTCCAAAGATGACCTTTCTGAAGCCCGAGAACTCGGGAACATGGGTGCCGTGTACATCGCCATGGGCGACTTTGAGAATGCTGTGCAGTGCCACGAACAGCACCTGCGGATAGCCAAGGACCTGGGGAGCAAGCGCGAGGAGGCTCGTGCCTACAGCAACCTGGGCAGCGCCTACCACTACCGGAGGAACTTTGACAAGGCCATGTCCTACCACAACTGTGTGCTGGAGCTGGCGCAGGAGCTGATGGAGAAGCCCATTGAGATGCGAGCCTACGCCGGCTTGGGCCACGCAGCCAGGTGCATGCAGGACCTGGAGAGGGCAAAACAGTACCATGAGCAGCAGCTAGGTATCGCAGAGGACCTCAAGGACCGGGCGGCGGAGGGCCGAGCATCCTCCAATCTGGGTAAGGGCCTGCCAGTGTGACCCCAGGCCAGCAGCCTAGGCTGCAAATGGCTGGAGTAACCACCATCCTTTTCAGGAGCTTGTTGTGGTTTTGCTCAAAAGAATTGATTGTGTATCTTTCCTTCAGGCGTACCCCCTGAGCCTGGCTACTGTAAAACACACTGTCTCTTCTGTGCCCTGAGAACTAAAGCCCTGCAGTGAAAGGAAACACACACACACACACACACACACACACACACACACACAGACACAAAGACACACAGACACATGCCATCCAGAGAGCAGAGCACCTCTGTAGCAGAGAGAGATGCATGGGGATGACAGACAGTTGTGAGAGATTCAAGTGCCTGAGGAAAATACAACAGGGACGACTTTAGTTGGTGAATTAGTCCACAGTGTCTCTTTCCCCTCATAATTACGTGTACTCAAAAATAATGTTGATAGTCTTTATGAATGCAAAGTCGTTTTGTGGAAGACCTGCAATGAAGACGTGCCTACATTTGGTTTGGAATTCAGTTGCTGTCAGGACATTTTAATGTGAGGGCTGGTGACAGGCTCCTTTGTGATGTCTGTGACATGAGAGACACTTGTGTTTGGAAGTGTAGGTTGAGTTCATTGCTGAGCTAGCCTTCTGGCCATTTGTGAGTTCTTGAGGGCTAGGTAGGAGGAGGGGTAAGAAGATGTGACCACAGTGGTACCTGCATAAGCTTCAGATGCCACAGGCAGCATCCCCATCTCCACCAACTCCATGTTAGCATGTCCCTGCCCTTCCCTCCGCCTTGGCTGCTTCTAACAGTATTCTTTGTAAAAACTCAAGCTGTGGCGTGTGCCGTAAAGGGCTGCAGGTTCTCAGGTGGCACTGAAGAGGCTCTGGAGACCAGAGCGAGAATATAGGCTTGCAGAAGGACACATTGTCATCATCTGCTGAGTCCACACCTGAGAACTGTACCCTTGAGTCACACACACACACACACACACACACACACACACACACACACATTCCTGTGTTTTCATTGGGGCTGTCTGTATTCATAGTTACCTTTCCTTCGGGCCCCGGGTTTGTCATGTCTGGGAAAGTCTGACAAGAACCGAAGTGACAAGTTCCTGGCTGACTGTGTTCATTCTATCAGTGATCAGTGTCTACTGACTCCTTACTGCATGATTAGTCCTGTGTAATTTATTTGAGGGGTGTCGGCACCCCAAAAGCTTTGTGCATTTGAAGAGCTAATAATATATTTGGAAAACAATGTTCACACAGAGCATCAGGGCTCGTCTACTTGCCCTTGTGGCTGAGCCATGCACACAGAGCATCAGGGCTCGTCTACTTGCCCTTGTGGCTGAGCCATGCACACAGAGCATCAGGGCTCGTCTACTTGCCCTTGTGGCTGAGCCTCTTTTCATATCTTATAGTAGTTTACATATTACACCATGCATTCTCACCTGCCCCTAAAAGGCCACAGAGTGATATGTTGCCATGAAATTCCTAGGAAGGAGAGCCTGCGGGTAGGACACCCTGGGAAGCCTATCACAAAGTACCCCTTCCTCATACATAGTTTTCTAGATCATTCTAGTTGGAGATTTACCAATATTTAAAAGGCGCACTCTGCTCTTGTGAATCCTTTGACTGTGTATGTTTGCTATTCCATTTGTTTCTGCTTGCGTCGTGTATAATATTCCTCTCCCCCTCACCTGAGTCCTTGCTTTGGCTACCCAAGCTCAGACCACTTAGACCACTGGCTACACCCCTTCTTGTCCGTGCAGTCACGTAAAGGTCTTACATTACCCGTGAACAGTGCTCTGTCTACCACATGTTTTCTATATTGTTTCCACTTTCATTGAACTGGAAAAAATTTAAGATGATTTGATTGTTCTCTGGTCCATTTGTTTAATTTTAAACTCTTTGGGGTAGAGCTCCACGGCTAATCGTCTGTCAAGTGTGCATGAGGCCCATGTTTCAATTCCTAGCACTAGATAGAAAAAAATCAATAATCAAAGCACTGGGCTGGGGGTGTGGCTCGGCGGGTAAGTGCCTGCTGACAAGCATGGATGTGGTCATGCAAGCCTGTCGCCCTGGAGCTAGGACGGGTGTGCAGAGAGCAGATCCTGGGGGCTTGGTGGCTTTCTAGTCCTACTCATGAACGACTGACATGGGGGTGGGAGGGGTTCTGACGGACGCCTGGATTGGTCTCTGAACCCCCAGTGGGCCACATGAGATGGCAGGAGACTTGGTGCTTTCTTGTGTCTGTGATGTGCATGCATGTGTGTGGATGCACATGTGTGTAGAGTCCAGAGGTTGACACTGGGTGTTTTCAATTGCTGTTTTACAGGTAGAGGCAGGCTCTCTCACTGAACCCAAGCTCACTGATCTGATCTGGTTCCTCTAGCTGGTCTGCCAGCCTGCCCTAAGGCTCCACTGCCTCTGCCTCTGTGCACTGGGGATCCACACTCCAGCCCTCACATACTCGTTCCTTAAACTTTTGCCCACCAATCCATCTCCTTGGCCCTGACTTGGCAAATTTTGATATATTTTGACAAAAATTTTCAAACCTATGTCTAGAGGAAGAAGGTGAAAAACAGGAAGAGAACCGTGGTCCAGATCTCCTGATACAAAGCAGAATGAATGGGTCAAAATATAAAATATCTGAAAAAATAACTAAAAATTGCTTACATTTGATGGAATGTTAGATAAAACGATACTTGCACACACATCCATGCATACATACATACATACATACATACATACATAATACATACATACATACAAGAGAGATAATCTGATAGATGCAGATTCAAAAACTGGAAGAAAGAAATTTGAGAGTAAGCCGTATCTGATCTATTATAATCCAGATGCTTCAACCAGCCTTGTAGGAAATCTCAGAAGCAGTCAGGGAAATAAAACGGTGTTTCCACAGAGTCTTTATCAGAAACAAAGGAGGTCAAAAACACTGGGGAGACATTTGACAGGGTTGTGGAGTTAAAATCTTGGCTGGTCCTGAACTCATTACATAGACCAGGCTAGCCTCAAACACATAGTGTTCCACCTGCTCTGTCTCCACCTCCCAGATGCTGGGATTCAAACTGTGCTAAAAGAAATAGTAAAATCCCCTTTAACCCAGAACGCCATATCCAGCAAAACTATGCCTTAAACAAACAGAGAAGAACAGCGAGAGAATTAAACAAATGAAAAGGAATGGAGGTAAATGCAGTGTACTTCAGGTGAACCACTGAGAAGAGCTCGTCACTGGCGGAGAACCGTAAGAAAATATTGCATAAAGTCTTTCGGACAGACGGAAAATGATTCCATATGGAGGCTGGGGTATTTAGGAGAGCGAGTGCCAGGAACGGTAAATACATGGATAAACAAGACACTGTTTTCCTCTCAAGTAATTAAGGTGGCTGTTTAAAACAAAAATATAACGCAGTGTTTAAAAATAATGCAGGCACAGTAACAGTGCGGCAGCTGAGCAAGGAATACAGCAGGTGGGAGCAGATGCATCTGCGGGACTGCCAGGTATACTCAGAGCTCATGGGCAACGCAGACTCCAAACTATGAAGAACACTTGAAGCCTTCAGAGGAACTCCCAAGAAAAACACTGCAAAAAAGGCAGAGCTACCAAGCAAGCAAGCAGAGGGGACAAAGCAGGGAGTGAGGTTTAAAGGAGACAGAGAAGCACCACAGGAGGGCAGCCCGAGGCTGAATGTGGTATTAAATATTAAAAGCAGCCACAAAAAAGGGCTGGAGAGAGGGCTCACTGGTTAAGCGTACCAGCTGCTCCTGCAGAGGACTTGGGTTCAATTCCCAGCACCCACATGGTGGCTCACAATCTGAAACTCCAGTTCTGGGGGACCAGACACCCTCTTCTGGCTTTCATAGGTACCAGGCACACACATAGTTCACAGACACACATACAGGCAAAACACTCACGTGTATGAAATAAAACAATTTTAAAAGAATAAAAACAGAAAAAAATCATTGCTTAATTCTGTGTCATTTGTACTTAACACATTAAATTAAATAAATAAATAAATAAATAAATAAATTGGAACCACCGAAATACCAAAGGAAGGTAGGGGTGGGCATATTAGTATCAGATATGGAGACTTTAAGAGAGTCGTGTATCATCTGTGATAAAAAGAAAAAAAAAAAGAGCCAAAGGAGAATTAGTGTCCATGGAAACCAGTTTGTGTCTGTCTCATCAGCTCACAGGGAAGCTGCAAACTGGAGACCTGCCCTGGGTGGTCACTCACATTACCACAGCCAGTGTGCACTCATTATATCAAAGTAAGCAAGGCAACTCAAGAGGGAGGGATGTTTTATGTTAAGTAAAGTGTAGATTATTTCCCTTTATAATTAAATGATTTGCTGGCAGGTGTGGGGTCGGGACTTGACAGGCCGTGAGTGAGTGTTAGCCTGCGGGGGAGCTTCAGAATACAGTGTCACAGAATTGAAGAAGAAACAAACACATCCACAGCGACAGCAGAGGTTTCTTCAAAGTGGGCATGCCTAACAGTTGATAAGCATACATATTTAAAAACCTCAAAAGACAGAGGTGATCTGAACAGCAATGCCAGCTGCTTGGCCCCGTGACATCAGAGTGTCACGTGTGTGGGAGCTCTGTAGCCTCTGACCACAGGAAGATGAGGCCAAAATTCAGTAACAGGACAGTGAGTGGGAAACTCTCCAGATTTTAAAATTGTATGTTATCTGGTCCACGCACCTGTGTGTAGGTGGATGCTTCCCTGTCTGTGCCCACGTGAAACCAGAGGAGACTAGCGATATCCTGCTCTGTCACTCCTTGCCTTGTTGACTTAAGACAGGGTCTCTCCCTGAATCTAGAACCTGCCTTTCCGAGCCTGCCTGGTGACGGCCATATTCATAATGGTGATTGTGGAGGAAGACGTCAATTAAGCTCTGCTCACGGGGCAGAGGTCAGCTGAGCTCCCAGCACCGACCTGTCCTTTTCTCCCCACTGGGTCAGTGGACAGCACCAGCTCTCCTGA